GCTGCAGCCCAGGAACCTTGCTGGTCTCTGGTCCCACAACCTCTGTCACCACTGCCATCCATGCACACACTCTCCAATTCATCTCGCCCCAGGGGAGGAAGAAACACAGGCGAGGCAGCCCCAAGCTGCATGGTCCAGGGGTGGTGGGGCAACACCCAGAGGGGTGCTCTCCTGATGTTGTGTCCTTCCGCTCACTAGGGCAGCCAGGAGTTGCCTTCACTTTATCCCTCTTAAGGCAAAAATAACATAGCAGAGACATTAAGGGTGTGTGGGAGATCCCTAAAGGGGTTCCCATTGCTGCAGCTGAGGAGAAGATCAGGACCTGTGGTCTGTAAGGTAAATCCCACACACATTTTCTGTTCTCTTCAGGAGAAGCAGGGAACCAAGGCACCAGCGTGGTTAAGTGGGAGGGAAATGAAGGGCTCGCGTCCCACCCAGCTTAGGGCAACAAAGACAGCAAGAGTTGGTAAAACCTATCCCAGAGATTTAATGTTTCCCAGGGAAAGTGGCAAATCCCATGGGAAGGAACACTGCATGAGGACCAAGGAAGGCAACTAAACCCAGACAGGGAGCAGACGGAGTGCAAACCCAGCAAAGCCCTGGGGAAAGGAAAGGTAGCAAAATTCAGGAGAACGAGAGGTTTCTTTCCCTTTCATCCCACTGCGAGAGCTGGGGAGAGGGAGCCGACACCCAGAGCCAGCAGCTCTTAGCCAGGAGCAGAGCCTGATGGAGGAGCTCATGGGAAGGCAGCTGAGCAGCAGGACCTGAGTGATCGCCCACAGCAAGCAGCAATTCCAGCAAGTCTACACCCAGCATGCATCTCAGAAGCATTCTGCTTTCAGAGCATCCCTGAAAGGGAGAACTCATTGCCAAAAACCAGGAGCTCCGCCTGCCCAGAGTTTGCATTTTCATTTTGGCTGGGAAACTGGAAAAATACAGACCTGAGAAGGCAATTCCCCCAGCCCATCACTCGTCTCTGACCCTGCAGGGCTGGGCTGGCACTGGGAGTCTCTTGGTTTTTGCAGTGCTGGGGGGTGGCATGGTAGCTTTTAGAAATGGGGCCGAGTGAATTGCAGAGTGCCAGGACAGAGTTGGGTGTGCCTGAATGATACCTTTGTCCAAAGCCAGGGAACCTGTCCCTACCTTTCCCTGCAGCCCCATCCCCAGGACCTGGCCAGGAGCCCCTCTTAGCAACAGCCCTGGATTGAAATAAATAAATGCAATTCTGCTGAGAGGGGATGAAAAAAAAAAAAAAAAAAAGGAATAAAGGATGTGCCTCTCCAGCTCCTCCTCCCCTCCCAGAAACCTGTGTGCTATGCAAATATATGCAAATAGTGCACTGAAAGGGGGATGAAACTGGCTCTCTATACCAGCGTGGTTTGAGACTGGAAGCAGTTTGTTGGAAAGTTGGGGCAGAAATAGCTACGGGATGAGAGGGACAAGCAATGATGGCTGGAGGCCACACGTCCCCAAACCCCTCTGGCACTGCAGTCGGCTCCTGCAGCAGCACCCAGCCCCAACCCTCCCTCTCAACATCCCATTTCTGCAGCTGATGCCGAAACACTTGCAAAACCCCCTTTCCCTCCACAAAAGGAGAAAAAGCACAAAACTTGCTTTGCTGCTGTTTACATTTCCCACCTGAGAAGAGACAGCGCAAGCTGTGTGCACCGCGTGTTTGCTGCCGTGGTGTTCAGCCCCAAGCAGGGACAGCAGCTATGGACAGAGCTGGGTCGTGCTCTGCGAGATGGGCATTTCCCCCAGGTACTGCCAGAGTGACACCTTTCTTACATGAGGAACGGGCTCGTATGAATTCCAGCTTATTTGTTCCAGGCAATTTATCCAGCCCAGCATTGCCTTGTTTGGTAGCGTTTTCTCAAGGGGTTTCTGCAGAGAAGCAGGTGAAATCTAGAAAGTCTGAAGGCTTCGGGGTGTAAACACCATTTGCTTGAGCAATGCTGCTCACGTTGGTAGTCAGTGCCTGAGCGTTTCTGCTCAGAAACAGGAGGTGTTTTTATGTTAAACACTCTCTGCTCGAGAGCAGACCTATCTGAAGCTGCAGCCCCTTTTCCTCCCTCTGACCCAGGGAAGGAGTTTTACAGATGCTCTGAACTCAGTGGAAAGTTTCTGTGAGTTCCAAGGTCCTGGGCAGGGCTGGACCACGGCTGCTGTGCTTCAGGAAGTGCCATTCCCATCAGCATCCTAAGGGGTGCAGTGTGGAAGTCACTTCCTGGGATTTTGATTTTATGTCATCTCTCCCTTTGGAGTCTCCAGCAACTCCAGCACCAGCCTCTACCATCTGTGTAAAGGCAGGTGAACCTGCTGATTATTCCTACAGTGCAAACCCAGCTTCTCTACTTGACCTGGTCTAGATCAGGGGGACAAGGTGGATGTTTTTCTCATTGATGTGTATTTGAGGTAACAGCAAAGCATCTCTGTCTCATCCCTGTGTTCCCATATCCTTCCATCTGCACTTTTCACTGTATTTCCCTGACACCTTTTGGGGAGCTGCCCTGCACCGACACACACACCACTCAGGACAGCACTACACAACCCTTCAGAGCATAGCCTGTGCCAACAGCATAGCGACAGGACAAGAGGTAATGGTCTTAAGTTACGCCAGGAGAGGTTCAGGCTGGATATGAGGAATATTTCTTCTCAGAAGGAGCAGTGCTGCACTGGCACAGCTGCCCAGGGAGAGGTTGAGTCAGCATCCCCAGAGGTGTCTCAGACCTACGGAGATGTGGCACTGAGGGATGTGTCAGTGGGCATAGTGGGGTGGGCTGGAGACCTTAAAGGTCTTTTTCTAACCTCAGTTCTATTCTACATACAATCCCTTGTGAAAGGAGATGAGCTGCTGCTCACCAGCCCCTTCCAGGTCCTCTCTGCAGCACTGGCTCCCCACCCAAGAGCTGCCTATTTCTCCCCTACTCACATGGCAAAGCCCTACACAAAGCTCCCCCCACAGCAGAGGGGAAACAGCCAATGCACATACAGGTTTGGGACAGACTTGTCATCAAATCATTCACCATAAAAAAGTATCTCCTTGGCCTCAGATCATCCCATGGCCCCACAGAGGGGAGTATGCAAAGCGTTGGGTGTGGATGGGAATGATTGCCTTTACCCTGAGAGGCTCAAACCAGCCCCCAAAATTTGAGGAATAACAGGTGCTGGGATTTCAGATTTGGTGATTAAGGACAGAGGCAATCTTTCCCCTCTCCAGGCTGTGGAACATGCAGAGATGAGGGCAGGTCTTTGTGTGCTGCCAGCAGTTGCAATAGGTGCTTCTGCTGTCACCGAGCAGAGATTATTCCCTGGATCTCCCAGGCTGTTTATCAGGAACACTCATTGCTGCAGCCACTAAACCAGCTTAAATACCAAAATTAAAAATAAATAATAATAATAAATCACTTCTCAGGAGAGAATAAAGGAGGTAAAAGGGAGCAAGGGAGGTAAAAGCATCTGGGAGGCAGGTTGGGGTCTTAAGAAAGCCTCTCTACACAGTGCTGGGAAGCCAGCAGGGAGGGACAAAGTTGGCTGTGCTCATCTGGACACTTTGCCTTCAGCACATCAGGGTGGTGAGCAAGGAGAGTGACTGGCACCCAAGGAAGAGCCACAGAGCAGTGCCCGCTCCCCCTGCACAGGGCAGGATAATGAATTGCATGAGAGTCCGGATCTGGGGACTGCACTGGAAGAAAAGCCACGAGGTCTGATTTCCTTGGGCATCCAGAGCCTTTGAAGATCAGAAAGCAGCTAAGTGCAAGGCAGGCTTTCAAGCTGGTTAGTGGTGGGCCTGGGACTCCCCGGGGAGAGCGAGCTGCAGGATCCCAGCTGTGGGGTCGGATCCTGCCTCCGTGCTGCACACTGAACAGGAATGGCTCCGCCGACATCACAGGAACACACTCCTCTATGGGTTGTTAATTAGCACACAGATGTCAGCTCAGAAGCACCAAGCTGCTTGCTCACGGCTGGCCGGGTGCTCACTGGTTTGGGATCATCCCAGCACTGGATCCCTTTTGTAGGTCCCATTGACCCAACTGCTGTCTAGAGGTGGGCTCCTCTCCTGAACATCCTCCTTGGGCAGAGGGTTAGGGTTAGGGTTAGGTGCAGTCGGAGCTTGCAAGCTTCCCACTGCCCAGAGGCTCAGGACAACAAGACCCTTCCCAGGGTGTTGGCAGGCAGGGATCATCCCAGCCACTTGCATGAAAGGTTAAGACCACTTTCCAATTAGAGAGGCAGGAGCCATTGCAATAAAGCGCTTCTGAGGGGATATTAATCAGGGCATCTTCCTCTCACGGAAATGCAAATCAGCCAAATGGAAACGGGAATGATTAGAGCCAGCGATTAATGTGGGCACTTCGATCCCTACTCCAAGCACAGCCACGAGGGTGGAGGAAAAATGCACTGGGAAAGGGTGGGCTCCACCTGGGACATTCAGCATCGAGTCTCCAAGATGACAGCAGCTGGTGCACAATGCCCCCCATCAGCCCAGATTTCTGGCCCCTCCTCTTGCACCCACCCAAGAAGCAGCAGCCTCATGGGGAAGTCGGCTGGGGGCGCGTGGGATGCTGCAGGAGATGCAGGCGCGTGGATCAAGGACTTGGGTGGGAGAAGTGGTGAAAGCAGGAGTGAAGCGCTGGATAAATGGGCTGGAAGGGGAGAGGATGAAGAGCAGAAGGCAATGTGGGAAGAGGCCAAAACACGGGCCAAGTTGTGGGGGCACAGAGTGCTCCCTCCCTTGCCCGGGAAGTGCCGCACCGAGGCCGGAGCCGGCTCTGCTCCTCGCGGCAGGAGGCATTAGATCCAGCTGAGCTGCTTCAACGCAGCATGCATGTAAATCAGCCGGACAGGCAGCGAGGAGAAAAACAAGGGGGATGAGATAAGAGGATGGAGAGAAAGGCAAGGGGAGGAGGAGAGGGAAAGAGAAAAGGGGTGGGAAGGAGAGGAGCAGGTGTGGAGAGAAAGAAAAGAACAGAGAGGGTAATGGAGAGGGGAGAGGGAGGAGGAGGAGGGATGAGGAAGCAGGAGGGCAGGGAGGGGGCATGGGGGAGCCATGGGAAGGGATGCACAGGGTGACCACGCTGTCATACTCCCACTTCTTTGCTCCCAGATCCACAGCACCAGGCCACGTCCTTCCTGAAGCTTTGGGGTACAGAAGCACCACGGTGTTCTATTACAGCCCTGGGGGAGATTTGGGCACCCATTTGCATTACCACACAAATAGCCCGTCTGTTGTCCTATAATCCCTTGCCTGGAAATGTGATTCCCTTGAATCACCTGCCCTGAAACCTGATGTGCATTTATTATGGAAGACTTGGTGGGTACCAGCTGAGGTGTCTGCACCTGGGGGATGAAATGACAGAGCCACATTGCTCATTTGAGTCAGGGATATCTTGCAAAGCACAGTGGTTCCTGAAAAACAACAACTTGGCATTGTCCTTTTCATCCAGGGAACTCATAGGCAAAAAATTATTATTTTAGACTCCCTACAATGAAGATCAACAGCTTCAAAAGAAGTTCTTGTGACTGGGCAGGACACAACAGTCTCCTGACATCAACGTGCAGTAAGCAACCAATGCTGATACAAATTCCATCTGCTGTAATCATGACATCACCCCTAATTATATAATGAATGAGGATGTCACCACCTGCAGAGTCCTGACGTCACCAGCAGAGCTGGAGAAAGGTCCAGAGCAGGATGATCAAACAGTGAGTCCACAGGAGAAAGAACTCAGCTTGGAAACCAAGCAGCTAGAGAGGCACATCTGTGGCCTCAAAAAGGTGAACCAAGTTTGATTGCTCACTGTGTCTCCCAATAAAAGAATTAGGAGATATCCAATGACATTAAGAGGCAGCAGATTCAAAAGGAACAAGAGAAAATGGCTCTTCACATGGTATGTGGTTAAACAGTGGAAGTCCTCACCACAGCTCTCAGGGGATGATTAAAGCTTCTGCGTTTACAAAAAAAAAATCAACCAGACAAATTCATGGGAAATCCACGGAGGGGTATTAAGGACAAAATGCCACTCTGGTTGGGGAAGTCCCTGAACTGCCACGTGCTTGGGGCTGGGAGCGTGCTCAAGAGGCACACCCCTGCCCAAATCTGCGGTGGGGACACCCTCTACCATTCCTTGCACTACACTGGAGATAGCAGGTGACATCCCCAAGCCAGACCCCACAATCTTAGCAGCCCGCTGTCTCTCCAAGCCCTACCTCAGGAGATGCCAAACCCATGCAAGTTGCAAAGTCCATAAGCAGTGGGACCGCTCAGTGCTGTCACTGTGCTGCTCCCAGGCCCCCAGCAGGAGCCAGGCTGGGTGCACAGCCCCAGTCCTCTGGACAGCAGCTGCATGCATCCCTGCAAGCAGCATCCCTCACATAGGCAGGCACACAGAGTCCATGCACGTAGCAATCCCAATTAAACCCAACTACATCGCAAAGGGCCCTGGCAGCGCTGCATTTATCAGGCTGCCTGGAAGGGGCTTGTGCAAGCTGTCCCCCCGGCTGACGGATTAGACAGCAGACAATTAGGTTTCAGACACACATACACACACACACACGCAAGCACACGCATGCACACAAATCCTTTTCTCCATCCATCTGCAAGGCCAAGGCGGCTGAGCACAGCTGTGCGGCTGTCCAGTGCTTCTGAAGCTGCGTGCAGCTGAATAAGAAAAAGCCCCCGCGCCTCGGCTTTCAGCGGCTGCTTGCAAAATGAGCGAGAGGTCCCCAAAGAGATGACACAATTGCAATGGAAATGATTAACCCTTTGCAGGTTGGTTTTGTTGCTCCATACCGCAGCAGCCAGCCTGGCCACAAACTCCCAATCGTTGGGTTTCAAGGACAAAGACGCAGCAACTCTGTGCTCAGCCAGCTAAACTATCGCAGGGATGAGCATGCTCCTGCATCCGTGTTTCATGGCAACAATCCGGGCTTTTGGGGATCGCTTTAGACATCTCACTGCTAGGATATTCCCCGCTCCTCTAAGCAGGGATGCTCTCTCTGCACACGCATCACTTCTGCAAACATCCTACCTAAAGCATCCCCGCCTGGTGCCCGAGAGCCCACGCTACGATTGCTACACCCAGATCCTGGCCAGTTTGCTCCTCCGATTGCCCCTTTTGAGGACTGCTCAGAACAATAATTCAACCCCAGAAAAATTAATTGCAACATTAAGTGGCTGCGATAGAAAAGGAACAAACTGAGGGCTTCTGAAAGCCAAAGCGTGCATGCCTGCTCTGGGAGATTTCTGATGAAATCAACAAAACAATGGATAAAGGGAAAAAAGAAATCAGTAGATATAATTTGTTAGGATTGCCCGAAAGCCTTAGATAAAATCCCACATGCTACTGAGGAAGCCAGGAATTACTGGGCAATGTGTAAAACACTGCTGGAAGCAGGAAACAGCAAAGTGCCAGCAGGCAGTGGGTGACAGCATGGGGGCAATGCCCGTCTCTGCAGGCAGGACAGGAAAGCCAGAAGTGTGACCTTGCCCCATGTCCAACTCCCCACAGACAAGGGTCTGCCTGTCCTGTCATGCAAGCTGGGATGACAGGGTGGTCAGCAGCTCCATCCCTGCATCATTCACATGTACTTGAGTTTGATAATCTGAACATGACATCAGGTGTGTCAGTCCTTGGCCTCAGTCCTCACACTCACAACCCTAGATCTCCCTATGTCCTTCCAAGCCATCTTTCAGCTGTATGTTTGGAAGAAGCCCAAGGAGAGAAATCTCACATCTTACATTTGGTGTGGGAAACGCAGGGAGAGAGGATTCTCCACCAATGATGCTCAGCTTCCTGAAACTACACCATGTTCTCATTTTTCTTGCCATTTTTGAAGATCACATCACAAGATCCCATCCTAGTGTGTGTGATCTTGCAATCAACTCCAACATGGCAAACACTCAGGTAGAAATGGCCACATAGGCAACTCAGTCCATTCCTCAAATCAATGAGAAGTTTTTTTGAGGTTTCCCTGGGAAACCTTTTGAGGTTTCCTTTCACTAAATATAGATGTATTCACTGTATACAGATGCCATTCATTGCATCTCCTTGGGGATTCAGCCATTATATCTTGTATCAATCCATAAACCACTCCTTCAGATTTATCAAGGTCCTATAGTTTTCCTTCTGCAGCTCTAAGCATGGTATCAGAGAGAATTTTCTGTTAACTATGCCATGTTTTCCTCACCTTCTTTTATCCCATTATCCATAGTTACATCTCCTAGACCACTCTAAATAATTACTCAGCTGCGTATTTATGACCTTCAGCTATTTGCCCATCCTTGGTTTAAGTGAACTCTTATTCAAGCTACCCTTAACACTTAGACTTCACAAAGAAATGCTTACATCCAGAGACCGTCCAGGATGGGGAAAAGAGAAAGTAGCTTCCCAAGCTCTGCTGTGCAGGCTGGGAAACTGAGGCATAGGGAGACAGCCACAGTTTGATCCCACAGCCCACCACCTCCAGACACCCGAGATCAGGAAGCACATAGATGAGTTAGCAGAAAGGGCAGATTCTGCAGCTTGCCATGGCTCTGGTGGGTGCAAATGGAAAGCAGCAAAAAAATTAAGCCTTTATTTAACGAGCCCTCTGGGAGGTAGGAGGTGACAGCCTTCATCCAACATGTCCAGCCACTGGGCACCTATTGTGAACTCCAGCAGGGTCACACAGGAGATTGCAACCCGCAGAGCAGTTGATTGACTCAGCTGTGGTGAGGTGATGGTCAGAGCCACAGCGAGGAACGGTGAGACTGGCAAGAATAAAGAAGATTGACTGCACTGAGCCCTGTTAACTGCACCATCTGGATATCGACCGTCAGCACAAGATACTGGAGACCACAGCCCGATGTGGTATGGGCATGAAGGCAGGGAGAAGCAGGAGGCACTGTGGTAGTCTATTGTGTGCAGGAAGGTGGGAGTTCTGGGGAGGGAGGTTCAGCTGGAGAAGACTCCACTGAGAGGAAGGAGAAAGGGAAAATGCTCGCTCCCATGCCATGCAGATGCTTGAAGATACCTTGAGCTAAGCCAGGCACCTCTGTGCACGTGGAGCTACAGAAGCACAAGTGTGTGCTCACAGCTCCAGGCACACCAACACGGTGAGGGCATCTGCAGCAGGGGCAAGAAAGGGGAGAGGTGAAGAGAAAGCAGAAGGAGCTCCCCATCTACAGCACTGCCAACTTCACGTGTCACTGCCAAGCCCTAAGCAAAGTTAAGAGGGTGGTCTAAAAGTATGAGTGCCTACAGAGTACTCGTTTCAGGTTGGTTACTGTGCACTTTCCAGTGGTTGAGATTACATTTCCCTTCTGCTATGATCACAGAGTTGCCAAGAATACCTTAATTTTGTCAATAAAATCTCAGACCAGAACTCCAAGCTCCACGACCTGGAGCCTTGAAGCCTTTAAAGTAAGATGTTTGCCATTGTTGACACCGAGGGCAGAGGTGGGTGGCAGGTCCACAGGCAGGTCCCCAGCCCTGCACAGTGACACGGGTTTCTCTTCCTGCACAGCAAACACAGCACCAACGGTCAGCCCCAGCGCACCCTGCAGGAGCCCCTCTGACTCATGGAGGGGAAGTGACTCGTCATGGTGACAGAGCATCACATCACCGAAAAGGAAGGAGAGCTGGCACATGAAACAAAGCCTTCTTCCTCTTAAAACTGGGTGTCCCCTGTCAGGAGACAACAGAGAAACCAGTCCATCGCGCACACTGCCTGGGAACAAAACCTGGGGCTCAATCAGGCCTTCCGTAGGGGATGCAGGGAAGAGCAGCCCTCACACGTTCCCTTCAGAAGAGACGGCTCCCTCTGCTTGGAGGGGGACTGTTCTGGGCTGAGGAAGACTACATCTGAGGGAAGGAAAGCAGTGAGAGGAGGAGGAGAGAAGCGAGTCCAAGCCCCCGCAGGCCTCAGCCCCACGCCGGGCTGTGTTATGCTGTTTCCTCACGCCACGTCGCCATAGCAACTCCATCAGCAAGCAGCTCTGCTACGACTCCGCTTCCCTCTCCATAGGTGTTTTTGGGGTTTTTCTTCCCCTCTCTCCCTTTTTCTCACCTCAGCTTTCTGTTTCGTGCCCATCCCAGCCCCTGTCCTAGAAGACTGCTGGCCAGTCCTCCCCTCATCAAGCAAGGATTCACAGGGCTGCTCCGCAACCTTGCCATGCAGTGGGGCTGAGGGGTCACAGGCAGGGCCCCCAGCCCGAGTGAAGGACAGGGCAGGGTTTTTTAGGGGGAGGGATCTTATGGAGCAGAGACTTTTGGGTCCCCACGCTCCTTTCCTTTGCTCTTGATGCCCTTCAGCATCACCAGCCATGAGGACTCCAAGCACCCCGCTGTTGCAAAGAGGGTCTCAGGTTGCTCAGGGCCCCAACCAGCCTGGCCTTGGGCACCTCCATGGTGGAGGCACCCATACATCTCCAGGCAGCAGTGCCAGGGCCTTACCGCCCTCTAAGAAAGCACTGTTCAGACTTAACTTGCTCTTTCACAGGGGTGCATCTGCCTCCAGGGGTCCCTTCCAGCCCTGTTTTCTAGCATCAATAACCAAAGAAGGCTAAACATCTAATTAAAATACTAGCTGAGCCAGAACCATGGGTAAATCAGTGCTTATATAATTAAAAAAAAAAAGAGTGGAAAGAGACGTAGCAAGGCCAAAATAATCATGGAAGATGCGGAGACACTAGAAGGAGAGGGCACATAAAAAAGAAAGACTCTTGCCCTCGGTTCAGACAGCCCATCCACAGTGACAAAAGAGCCATCCTCCAGGAAGAGGAGGGTTTTGAGAGCATCCCCCAGCATTAGATGCTTTATTCCACTTAATATCACAGCCCTTCTTTAGCTCTTTGAAAGTCCCAACCTTAAGTACCAAGGAAAGCCACCGGTCCCTTAAAAGGCTGACTTTGAGGAGACCAAATTCATTGCCAAACTAAGAGCTCATCTGGCCCTGCTGAGCACCAGGTGGGTGTATCCCTGCAGCTCACACATCCCCAGAGCCTGCCAGCTCCTCACCAGGATGGCAGAGTTCCTCTGGTTTGTTTTGCAATTGTTTTTGGTGCTTTCAAATAGCTGTGGTTGGAAAGCAGAGGCTGGGTTAATCTGACCCTGTCATATGCATCAGATGTGCAGCAGAAACAGCCCTCCAGTAAATGTTACCACGCCGTTTGTGGAGGCTTTTTTTTTCTTTTTTATAGCAGACATCTGCAGCATGAGAAGAAGGATGGAGCAGAGAGGACTCAGAGGGGACAGCAAATCTTCTGACAGCCGAACCCCAGTGACACAAAGCTCCTTGGCCCTGAGCCCCAACATACTCAGCCCAAAGCCAAGCCAAGAAGAGCAGCCCAGACTCTGGGACTGCACAGCACAAACCCTTTGCAGTTATTCCTGTGCACGTCCGCTCCATGCTCGAGGTTTCTTTATGCACACAATCACACTGACTTAACTTAAGGTGCAATTTTGCAACCACTGCTGCTTGCTTGCTTGGAAAGCCGAGCTTCTTTCAATGTGGCATAAGTCAATTAGAAGCAGGTTGAAGCTGAAGTGAATTAAGGCATTCAACCCCAAATGCAAGTGCCTGCCTGGAGGAAAGGGGAGGGGAAGGCAGCTCTGCACCAGTTTTAGCTAACCCAGTGCGATTCAACCAATATAAAATCTGAGAACAGACAAGGCAGCATCCTTTCTCCCTCCTCCTCTCTGTTCTCACTTCTGCTCCCCCCTTTTTTTTGCTTCCCCCATCCCTTCCCTGAAGACTCTCCTGCTGTTCATCCTTCCCCGCTCTTGCAGCTCCCCCCCTCCATGCCCACATGCACGAGGGGGCCGGGAAGCAGTTGGAGAGCAAACTCCTGGCAGCCGAGGCATCGGACGTGCCGAGAGCCCGAGACAGCTCCAGAGCAGGGAGTCAAAGGAGTGGGATGAGCGAGAAGCGGGTGGGTTCGGGTGCGAGCAGAGAACTGCCTGCAGCGTGTGAGGCTGTAAGAAGGCAGGGGAGAGCATCTGCTTTATAGCACCAAGCACACGGAGTCACTGAGCTTTGCCCCCACACAGATCTGCCTGTACCAGCATTTTAGAGCCCAAATTGTGAGTTGTTTGGAAGCCTGTAAGGAATTTTAATAATGCAGGAAGATGCATTAACATAGATGCCACAGGGTATTTTGAAAGTTTATATGCCCCTAAAATACCACCATCCTCTATCCCTCAAGAAAAAGTCCTTAATCTTCCAGATTGACATCTGAGATAAAATCAGCACTGTTTAATTCCTCCTAGACATCACCCAGCTATTCAGGTGTCAAATCCCCTGCAAGGAGGGCTGCTTCACGCTGGGGTCTCTACATCCATCCCCTGCAGCCGTGAGCGGGTTTTCCCCATGAAGATGTGGAAGAAAGGAGGAGGTGGGCAGCAAGACCCCACAGAGCTGCTGTGGGGCTGCTTGGATGCTGGCCATGGGATTCTGAAGCTCAGTGCAGAGGTACCTGCCATGCTCTGGCTGCTACCAGAGACTCTCACACTGCGCAAACAACCCGCATCGATAAAAATGCAGCCGTAGCAAAACCCCCCACACCCCACTCCACACCGCAAGCTGAGTTGCAAAATCCTCATCCCTGGGTGCTTCTCTGCAAAAGGGCAAACGCACCAGCTATTTTCAGAGATCCCTGCTGCAGGTTGAGCAGGAGCGCTGTGAAGCTGCTCTCTGTGGTTCACGGCATTGGCTGCTGCCAGCAAAAAGGAGGAATTGTTGGGGAGAACAGAACAAACACAGTGGGGGGATGGATAATTAGAAAAGCTGCCCGAGATGCAGCTTTCCTGGATAAACTTTGGGATGTGCTTCTACTCCTCATCAATGCAAATGAAGCGGGAGGACCTGGGGGACCTCCCAGGCTCCACTTTGGGTTTATACCCAGGTAATGGATGACAAAGCCATCACTGCTCAGCCCCCATACCTGTGGCACCCCAACCTACAGATGCAGCTCTTCAGTCTCCAGCCAAGGACAGGGGAGCTGCCACATACTGAACTTGCTATACTTCTAAATGATGTGATACCAGAAAAATCGTATCATGGACAGACCTACAGGAACCTGCACACCCCCCTCTGCTCATCCTATGGCCATCCCTGCTTGCTAATTAGATGATATTTCATACTCGTACAAAAAGCATCCTTCAGCTGCTATTTCCCTTTACGTCCTGGGAGCAATGAAGAGAATTTAATAGATTTTTGAGAAAATATGACATAGATATACACCAACTATCTGCACTCTAGAGTATAAAGAGTAGCAAACAACCAAATTGCGGACGGACAGTGAGAAATGACATGGGATGAGTGCGTGCAGAGGGCTGGAGCGGAAGGCTAGAAAGGTGGGACAGGAAGCCAGACCTGATTCCTGGCTCTGTCACCAGCTTCCTCCCTGACCTTGGACAAGCTTTGGGGGCACCAGATTTTCAGGTAACTTCTGTTTAGGCACAGAACTGCCCAGGCTAGGTCTCCTGAGGCACGCAGGGTGCTGAGCCCTGGGTCTTGAAGGGAAGTTTTATTTCTGGGGTTCCTGGAGCCCCAAAAGCAGCCACATCTGTGCTTTACAGTGCTGGTATAGACACAAGGGATTTGGACAAAGCAGCAGCAGCCCTAGGTCTGCATGCTGCCCTCTGAGCCCTGGCATATGCTGACCTCTGCCCTCTGCTCCCCAATTTCTGCTACCAGCAGCAGTGCAGCTGTCGATCAGCACAGCTTTTTGGAGACCGTTTGGGTCAGGGCAGTCAGAGTGAGCCAGCACCTCATCCTGCATCATCAGCTCAGTGCTTCAGCCCTGACATGGGCAACAGGGAGGAATGGAAAAATACAGAAAGGACCTCAATAGAGCTTCCTTGCAAAGGGGCTCAGACCACACTTTGGACCCTATCTGCCACCTTTGGTCTCTTGTCTTGACAGCTGCAGTGTATCCATGCAGAGGGAGCAGATCCGAGCTGCAAACTTTAAAAAAGGAATAAGAAAAAAGGAGAGAGGGAGCGAGCAAGCGAGAGAGAGTGTCTGACTACAGCCCTAAGGGCTGTCACAACAGATAAAACCTCAGCCAGGCTTCGCAGTTTGAGCTCCTGCACGCTAATGCACAGCAGAGCTAAAAATACCAACGTGTGGAAAAGCAGAGGCTGCTGTTGCTGCGTTTTGAGCTCAGCGCGGGCTCTGGCTTCCCAGTGAGCCAGATGCATGGCCACAGAGGGGAACGCGACCCCAGGCAGGGGCAGGGGTAACCAGGGGTGTCCCCACCACAGCCACGCTGGCTCTGTCCTGCTAAGCACAGAAAGTGAAGGGTTGAGTTTGTGCTGATGTGCAGCAAATATCCGGGCCAGGCGCTTTCACAGCGTGGGCAGAGCAAGGGAAGGAGCAGCCTTGGGGAAAGGGAAGGATGGAGCCTGGATGAGGGCGATGCAGTGAGGCTTCACAAGACAGCAAAGAGCCAGGGCTCTGTCCTTTGGGCTGCCAGACCTGGAGCAGCCTCGTGTGAGACAGCAGTGAGCTCATGGCTGTGTTGCAGCCCTATCTCCTGATGTGTCTGTCCATCTTCTGTGCAGCCATCATTACCCTATCTGAGGCCCATGAACATACTTCACCATGCACTTAGATTCAAGCATGCACTTCAAGTCTATTTTCTTCAATGGAACTGAAGGACATGCTTAAGACTTGCACGTGATTAGCTGCTTTCAGCAAAGGTCAGTTTTCCAAGCCAGGGTGTTCTTGGGGCCTCCTTCTCCCAAACCTGAGTGCTACTGAGCTGCTGCATTCCCATTCTCGAATTCAGACAAAACTCACTCAGGGTCACTTGGCCCCAAGACCTGGAGCTTAAGCTCAATAGAGAGGCACCAAAGACAGAGCCTCCAAGCCCTCATCTGACCAGAAAAAACACATGCTCCCCACCTCCACCCAGCACCCCTATTTCAGTCCTGCTTCATGCCTCCCACATCAGCACTGACCCCACTGCAGAGTTCACAGCCCAGTCACCCCACTCCTTCCCCAGTTTCTTTCCTACTCACAATAGCATTAAAGACACCAGCAGAAAATCCCCATGGATCCGTTTCAAGTTGCATTATCAGCACATTTGGCATTTTCATCATGCTCAGGACACGGTCCCCTACAAAAGGCCAATTTATCTTGCAAGCAAACGGCTGCCTTGGAGGCTGCACTTTACAGCAGCTATACCAGCACAGCCCTGGGCAGAGCAAGAGCCCCATGGTGCCACATACACAGCAATGCCCCAATCTGGGCACACAGCAGCAGCCACTTGGCACTTGCCAGCCCACCCAGCCCCACACTTCTAGCATTTCAAGGGCTCTTCCAGCCCTTTTTTTTTTTTGCTGCATACAAGTAGATGAATATTATAACTGCACTAGATACATAAACTGTATACCATCCAATTATAACCCAGCATTGGCAAATATCACAGCACTACCGCAAAGTAGTGTGAAACCTTCTGACTTTCACAGTGCCCCAGCTCACGGATGCAGGAAGCTACAAAAAGAAAAAAAAATCCAAAATTCATAACTCTCCTTTCACTAAAAGCAAAAACCAAACAAAGTCACAGCCCTCACAGCTAGAAGAAATAAGAGGGCTGAAAACATGGGTCCTAGCCACACAAACTGAAAACCACAATAGAAATCAGGATTTTTCACCAAGCTGTATTATACTAACCTTTTGATCTGGAGACAGCAGCTAACATTACAATCACTTCTTATTTGCTTGGTCTTGAGGAAACGAAGAGGACAGATCCCAGCAGAGCAGCATTCACCACTATTGTTCCATACAGCTCCCTCTTCTTCAAGAACCTGGATGTTCATAGAGAAACCTAAGCAGGAGCTGATCCCATCTGACAACCAGCCATGATCCCACCTAACCACCAGCCCAATAGCCGAGATATCAAACAGAGCCTTCATGCAAGCAAGAACCCCTGCTATAATCATACCAATAGCCCCCAGAAAGCAGCCCCAATTTCCTCTCTTTGACTCTGAAAACCTTGGGTAGCTCTCAGCACTTCTACCAGACCAGCACATTGCTTCATCATCAAGCTTTTATCTGAGAGCACCCAGAGGCAGTGCTGCCCCAGCTGTGACCATTCATATCGTTTGCACTTTGGAGAAACCACTTTGCAAAAGGAATGGCTCAGCTGGTAACAGGGTATGGGAACTCCCACCTTGGGACCTCAAAACTGCCCAAACTGAGGCCTGAATACAGCTTTCCAGTAGGCTGATGTGCAACTGATTCCTTCCTGACCTGCCTGCTTCAACTTGGGCTACAAGATCTTTATGACAAGAAGCATTATATGCATTGGTCCAGCACTCTGCACTGCCTCCAGCCCCCAAGCGCTGCTCTAGCAAACCCAAACAGCAACTGTAGTAGCTTCTAGGCAATGATATCAGGCCCAGTATCATGATATCCTTGTTGGTCTTCCTAACAAAGTGTCAAAAAGAGGGGCTTTGGGCTTCCATACCTCATAGCCATGCCTCCATCAGGGTCACATCCAAGAGGCAGTGCAGGGAGCTCACCCAACAGCGCCTCACTCCCAGGCTTTGGGACAAAGCAGCCAACCCTATACGCTGTCTCTGTGTTCCATCCCCAGTCTCAAGACTGAGACCTGGAAAACCCAGAGCTGTTCAGAGCTGCACACAGTCGCTGGGACAAAAAGGAAGGCAATGCAGGATGCCCCAAACCCTGTCCTGCTCCAAACTCCTGATGATGCTTCTGACCCCGGCGCACTCCTGCCACAAATTCAGCAGGTCCCTCTGCCAGCTCCCACCTCTTGAAATTCTGCACACTAATAAAATCCTACCTCATTTACATCTGAGATGGGGAGTGAGTGGCAGCTGTTGCTATAGAAACCTTCTCCCGAGTCCCGGCTCCCACTGCAGCTCCAGGAGGACAGATCCTAAGCAGTTCCCCCAGCCCCAGTGGCATGGGACAACCCATTGTGCCCTGCTGAACCCTGCACTGCTGCCCCTGGTCCCATTGCAGTGGGCGTAGAGGCTACACAGGTACCTCCTTCTCCTCCTCCAGGCCCTGCCTGCTGAACCTTCAATCTCTGGAGCCCCACGCTCACCATCCATTTCCAAAAACATGTGATCACCAGCCCTTGGAGGTGGGGTTCTACATGCAGAGCCCCTCTCTCATCCAGAGAAAGCAAAATACAAAGGACAAGAAAGAATTGCTCACTGAGCTACCAGGCTCTGGGGAAACCTGAGCTGAGGATCTTGCTAATAGAAGGAAAACTTGCAACGTGCTTAACATTTATTATGGCTTGCTGCTTTCCCTAAGTTGGGCTGATGATTATTTAGTGCATGGCCCATGGGTGCACAAATGCTTTGGGTTGCTAGCAACACCTCACACAAGACCTTCCCTTGGCTCTGACCAGGCTGAACTCTGGTTTCTAGCTCAGCTTCCAGCATGAAGCCTGGACCAGTTACTAGAGATTCACCATTACCTGACAGCACTGCTAGGCATGGAGACATCTCCTCTCCACAGAGCAGCATTGGGAAGCAAGATTTTGAGCAGAAAAGCAACCAGAGGACAGGATGCCAGATCCTGCTGTCACTTACAGGCAGGCTGAGCAGGAGGCAACCAGCTTGTGAGCTGCCACATCTGCTGGTGTGTTGAGGAGCGTCACACAGCCTGGACGTGCATTGGTGGGGTGAATGTGAGGTGCCTCTCTTGTGGGAATGTTCCTCAGGTCATCCAAGGAGCAGCAGTCCTGGTCTCATTTTCCTTTGGACAAGACACCAGGGCTGTCTGAACATTGCTTTGCAGGGACATCTCCTTCATCCCCTCCATGCGTGCTGTGCCACGCGGGCACCATGAGTATAGAATGGAGAGTGGTACCACCACTTTTTCCCCACCAAACAACACCCCCAGCATGCCTTTGAAGCTATTTATTCCTCCTTCCAGACCTCAGCTGCCTGCTCCATCACACAGGGAAAAACTGACTCAGACCTTCCCAAGATAAGGAGACCACATCTGCAGCCCAGCTCCCCAGGAATGCAATCAAAATAGCGACCGGCAGGCAAGGCGAGAAAGCATTTTTCACTGCTGACTCCGACCCCCTGATGGACTGTTGCTATGGAAAGGCAGCGAGCAGCCCCAGCTGGGGTTCTGCTGAAGGATTTTCCCTGTTTGGCCTGAGGCTAGGGCAAGGGGAAGGGGGGAGGATGGGGAAGGAGCTCACATCTGGCTGCGGCTGGGCTCCCCATCACCAGGTGCAGGCTCACCTCTCTCTTGGTTGCAGCATCCTGAGACACTCTGCATCCTGCACCAGCTCAGGTGCTGCTCGGTGGTGTTTGGAGACTGGTGCAGGAGCACAGCTAATAAGCCCAGCTCCTAATTGGTGTCAGAGGTACCAGGGAAGGGGCAGAGGGACAGTAACCTAAGCCTGGCCAGTCTTCCTCTGAGCCTTTAAGGTCTCTGGGACACCCATCCAGCTCCTTTCCCCTTCAGCCTGTTTCCAGTTCCTCATTCTGGCATGAAGAAATAGGACAGTAATTCCTCTCCTGTGGGGAGAAACAATACAGAAGTCAAAGCAGAGCCCTTCCAGGCTGCATGAGCAGGCAGATGGTTGGGTGAAGATTTGCACAACTTTCTTATTGTTAAAAAAAACACTCAATGACAGCATCGGGCCAGGAGCAGCAGGAGACCCTCAGCTCCCTCTGCAGATCCTTCCCATGACAGCTGCCCCCTGGGCAGATGAGATTCATCTGTGAGAAGCCACAGGGATACATGCAGGGCTGCTCTGCCCCTCCAAAACATCCCTGCTCTGCACACTGACAGCGCTGAGACAGCACCGCATCTCCTGCCAGCCTCTTCCACAGCTCCTGCTGCACTGTTGTTGTTATTAAAGCCCCTTCCAGTTGATGGAGGTGGCCTGAAGATGAACAGCAGTCTGGGCACTGCGTGGCCACTTCTCAATCACATCATTGAGATGAGGTGGAAAAGGCCAGAGTTCCAAGCTGCCTCCGTATACCAGCGCCTGGCACCAGGCACTGAGGGAGCTGCTGCCAGCAGCCAGCACCCAGAGGAGCCATTCCCCCTCCCTCTGTCTCGCTGGGAGTTGGCAGGAGGGGACGGACAGCTGCTTTTCCATAATCATTTCTCCACTGCTGATGACATGCTGGAGCTAATTTTCGGAAGACACCTTAGGAAGAAGAATGTATGTATATCAGCTGAAGCAACTCCTTCCAGAGACCAAACACGCACAGCAAAACAAAATGCTGCTTCTTGTTAACCCTTGCCAATACATATGCAGTACAAAAGTTGCTGGTCAGATTCTGCCTTGCTCACAGTCCTGTAGCTTTGCTGACAGTGAGGGGGGGAAAGCAACTGTCTCTTCAGAGATGTCACTGATTGAAAATCCCCCCCGAAGGAGGGATCCTGCCCCAGTTATTGCCAAGGCTTGCTCACTCAGATACCCCCTGGGAGCTTGCTGTGCTGTGCCCAGCATGCTGGTGTCGCTCGGATGCGCAGCACGTGTGCAATGGCACGCACGGCAGCCCTGGGACAAAGCAAGAGCTCCGGAATGCCCCGGGTACACAACCCAGCCCTGCACAGGGGCAGGCTCTATGAGCATCCCTGGCCCAGGAGGAGAAAGATGAGTTGGAGAAGGTGAAAGGGAGGGGAGGAGGAACACCACCTGCTTATTGATCAGAACATATGAAAAGGGTTTTTCTTCTGGTTCCCGAGCTGGAGGCAGGAACCTATTGGATAAAACCCTTTGCTCTCCCGCTGCCCTGGTTTCAGCCACTCCAGGCTGCTGGTTAATTAGATGAGCATTAGCAGAAAGGCAGCTGGGCAGCCGGGAGGGGCCAGGTCTCTGTGTCTGTAAATGCTAGTGCACGGGGCTGTGCTGATGGCCAGGGCACTGCCAGTGCCGTGCCGCCCGTGTGTCTCCTGTGTGCAGCCCAGCCAGGGGCCAACTCAGGCGCCAGGGAACCAATCACCTCGTGTAGTGCAGCCATTTTCCTCTTCCCCCCAAATTTCCATCTTCCATCTGTTCTTGCACCAGCCCCACGGTTAACATAGCCTGGCCCTGATTGTGGGGCAACCCGGAACCAGGGAGGCTTTAGAGCAGAGCGGGCATTTTTCCTGCCTACATCCTATTTGCGAGAAATTACAACAAAGTCATGAAGGATTTGCAGTTTACTTTCATGATCCTTTTCCCAGATTAACACATAGATCCACTTTCTGGTGAGCAGACTTAGTGTGTATTGTTTTGTCTTTGTTGCAACCTTGCACTCCCACATCCCAGGGCTTTCAGTGCCCCACTGAGGTGTACAGGATATGAACAGGAGCTTGCTTTAATTAATGTTTACTTCTTAATTGGGCTCTGAGCTCCCCGGCAAGTCAGGTAGTATTTTATTGTCATTCCACAGTCCTGGGAGAGAGAAGGCAGAGGGAAGAGCAAGAGACATGGGCAAGGATGGTCAGCAAGAAGGTCTCAGGTTAGTGGAGAGACCCTAAGATTCTCCCCCCTCCATTCCCATTACCTGCACTGAACCCAGCAGCAATATTGCCTGGTGACAGCTCACTCTGTTTGCAAGGATTATTATCCCAGATTACCCACCTGCATCAACCCGCCTCTCTCCCTTGCTGTCAACAGAGAGACACAGATTCAAGGAAACTGGGTTAGATCCACATTTATATAGGGACACAGCACTTACAGGTTAAACAAAGTTCTCTTGATTGCCAGGCTGTTGCCAAATGACCCCAGAGGAAGGATGGGGCTTTATGTCAAAGCTTTACCAGGGACACAGGGTGAACTAACATTACATGCTGTAAAATAAACTTTCCAACAAAATCAGGATGCAGCTGTTTCAGCTGCTTTCAGCAGAAGACGTTATCTGCAAAGCAGATAAACTCACTTCAGCCTTACCTACAGCTCAACAGCCAGCTCTCCACAGCAGCGTCAGCATTCGACTGGCTGCTATCAACACATCTGTAACACATCCATGCCGGAGCAAACTTATGCCTGCTGGTTTTGGGGGAGAAAGCCAGAGTTTTGCATTGTCCTTGTCCCACAGC